CAATATCACTCCAAATTAACTAATATCCTTCTTGATTTTCCTCAATACCCCTTATTTTATGTCACTTGTGTTTAAATGTCCCGAAATTTGCTCAATTTTATAATAATTTGAATATTTTTTGAGAGCTTTTAATAATTAAATTTTTTGAAAATCCGGGTCGGATCAGGCATTTTTCAGATAACGAACTCAAATTGATTTAGAATTTTGAAATAAATTTTCTTATGATAAATGAAAAAAGGGTTGAAAAATAGTACTCCCCCCTGAATTAGTACTCCCCCCTTAAATAGTACTCCCCTTTGGAGGAGGGTTGAAAAATAGTACTCCCGGGAGTACTATTTTAGGAAATACGGTATATTAATTGCTAGAATTTTAGTAGATGATTAAACTTCTTCTCAATTTCCTTAAAATTAAAAGCTTTAATTAGAACTTCATTCCTTTTTTATTTTAACTATCGTAGAATATAATTAGTAAATTAAATATAAAAATGAATAAAATAAAATAAAATTATTTTTATTTGATATGGATGTATATTGGCACCACATAATATAATTGGAGCCGAAAAATTAAGTCGAGACGAAAAATAAATTCAAGATAACGCTAACAAAAAATGTAAAGAAACCTTAGGAAACTGACAATAAGCAAAACTATTTTCCTATGTATGTTTTACATATTTTTATGAAATTAAATTAAAATACTAAATAAAAGTCCTAATAATCCGAAAATTAAATTAGTTAAAATTTAATTAAGCAGAATTATGTACTCTCTAAATTTTTATTAAATAATTTAAAATCAACTTCGACTATTATAAACTTGAATAAATTATGAATAAAATTTCTATCCACAAACTCTTAAGACAATAAATTTTTAACATAAATTTAATAATCTTATAGTACTTTTCATTGTTTGATGTCTAAATAATTAGTTAGACTTTAAATTTTGGAATAATTATTTTAATTGTAATTCTGAACAAATATTAAAGTGCATATTATTTAATATATAAATATAGCTGAATGTAAGTAAATTAAATTAAATTAAAAATTATTTAAATATTTAAAATTAAAATATAATTTAACAAAAATGCAATTTAATTTGCTTTTAATATTTTTTATAATATTTATTAATGTTGCCCTTATATTTCCAGACAAACCAAAAGACTGCCCAGAACTTCCAAAAAACCCCAAAAAACCTAAAAATCCAAAACTTCCTTCCAATCCAAAAAAACCAAACCCTCCAATTAATGACGGAAATAATAAAGTAGTTAAGGCAAAATATACAGAAAAAGATACTTGCCTTTCTGAATCCAAAGCTAGTGGGCCGATTAAATCAAACCTTAATAAGCCAATTAATGGGAAATTTACATTTTATGGAACTGGTGGACGTGGAGCTTGTGGATATGATATGGATGAGGTTAAAATTAAGGAAAAAATTTTAATTAATTGTTAACAAATATTAGCATACAAATGCTGTTAAAATAAATAAAAAGTCAAAATTTGATAGCTCTTCACGAAAATTTATATAATTATTTCTCTAAAAATAATCCCAAAACATCCAATAATTTAGCCAAAATTCTCTGCCGCCGCTTCAGGCTCTCTGTTCAACCCCGGTGGACAATGGGTCGAATCGTGCTTTAAAGACAAGCGTTATGTACTTAACGACCCAATTTGTATGAGTAAATGTGTTAAAATAACCTATAAATGTGTTGGGTGTTCGACTGCTAAAACGTTTAATTTTATCTATAATCCTTAAAAATTCCTTTCAATTTTAACAGTTTAACAGTTCCAATAAATAATAAATGCCCAGAATGTGCAATAAATCATGTAGATTTGTCTACTGATGCTTTTAATTATCTCGAGCCGAAAGGTGGAATTGTTGGTGTTGCTAAAGGTAAATTACGGTGTTAAAGGAATTAATATTTGTATTTAAATTTTAGATGCAACAATAACTTATATTAAATGTTAGAAAAGAAGTTATTATAAATTGTTATAAATGAAAAATAAACAAAAGAAATATGTAATTTCAAATTTCTAGAAATTTATTTTATATTGTTATTGTTTGTGTATAAAATTATATAACAGCCTTATTCGTTTAATTGTATCGACTTTTAAAAATTTTTTCATAAAAAAATCTCCTGCCAGTCCCGCCCGCGCTTTAATGTCCCATTTCCCTGCGGCCATTGTACGACTGACTGATTTTTCTTTTTTCGCTTTTTAGTGGAAACATTTTTTACTTTAATGTTTTTGGAAAAAGAAAAAATAAATATTAGGCGTTTTGGTTGCATTAAAAAGGAAAGAAAAATAAAATCACACGTTTTGTCTATATTTGTAAATAAAAATGTTTTTTTGCGGTTTTAGTTTTTGGGGAGAAAAAGAAGAACCTGTTGTTGTTTAGATGGCCAAAATTGAATTTATTTTTATGTTTTTTAACACATACTAAAAAACTTTTTAAAAATTTCTATGGATTTTGTATTTTAAAAATATATTTATTAAATTATGTAGATATATAAAATTTTTAGTTCGATATGACATTGCAGTTTTGTCTTAATTGAAATTTTCTAATTATTTTTAAATCCCATTTCTAGAAGATTACAGATAAACACCAGAGATGTTTCGAAATTTCGATTTTCGATTTTCGTTTTTCGATTTTCGAGGTTTTTTTCCTTTCGATTTTCGATTTCCGATTTTCGAAATTTTGTGATATTTTCGATTTTCGATTTCCGAATTTTTGAAAAATTTTAATTTTTGGCGCCAAAGTGGAGGATTTTTGGCTTATTGGCCATCATAAACTTAAAAAAATTTTCGTCTGCGGCGCAGAAAAGGAAGACTTTTGGCTTCATGGCCTTCCAAAATTCTCAAAATTTTTGCCTGCGGCGCAGAAAAGGGAAGATTTTTGGCTTCTTGACCTTCCAAAATTCTCAAAATTTTTGCCTGCGGCGCTGAAAAAGAAAGATTTTTGCCTTAAGGATCATCAAAATTTTCGCCTCCGGCGCAATTAAGAAAGATTTTTGGTTCTTAGCCTTTCAAAATTCTCAAAATTTTTGCCTGCGGCGCTGAAAAAGAAAGATTTTTGCCTTAAGGATCATCAAAATTTTCGCCTCCGGCGCAATTAAGAAAGATTTTTGGTTCTTAGCCTTTCAAAATTCCCAAAATTTTCGCCTGCGGCGCTAATTGGAGGAAACCCTGATCTATTAACAATATAATGCTTCGGCTCCGGTATATTGGAGTATTTCTTGAATTAAGGTGGGATTGGAGGGAGCAGGCCATTTGGAGGGAGCAGGCCAGATGGATGGAGCAGGCCAGTTGGAGAGAGCAGGCCCCTTGCCGGAACCCTATGCCAGGTACCACCTTATGAGTTTACTCAAATCCTCCGTTATCCCTCTTAACCCACACAGATCTCAGGATTAAATATTAATCTTTACACTCGGAGTCTGGAGATAACAAGAAGCGGCTCAGAAAATCACCGGCTCTGGAGCCAGGATCTCAATCTGATATGCAAAATTTTGGGTTTGGATATCCGTGATTTCCTTGGAATCCCAAATTCCTTAGAGTTCAAGCAAAAGTTCCAACTTGTAACATAAAAATTTATTTTTTAATTTTTTCTATTAAAAATTTTTTTTTCGATTTTCGTTTTTCGATTTTCGATTTTCGAGGTTATTTTTCTTTCGATTTTCGATTTTCGATTTCGAAGATTTTGAAAAATATTTTCGATTTTCGATTTCGATATTTTTGGATTTTTTTCGATTTTCGATTTCCGATTTTCGAAGATTTTTTTGTTTCGAAACATCTCTGATAAACACTCATTTTATCTTAAAAATATTTTTTTCTGAAGAATAAAAAAGTGACTTCTTTATTTATACATTTTATTATTCAACAAATGAATTTTTCTGTACCAGTATTAATGAAATTCACCGGTACCTAACGAGTACCAAAAAATTTCAAACTTTTATCAGTACCCTACCTGTAGTACTGAGAGTACAGATTCGGTACTTTCGATGGCACCGCGGCAGAACTGAACCATGCCGTACACTAATCGTGGTGCCGTCATTTCCACTAATAATTCATTATTATTATTTAGATATTTAGTTACCTACCTATTTTTTATTATTCCTAAATTATTTCAAAAGTTTCCATTAATTTCAAAATATTTCATTAGCAAAATTTAAAATAAAATTTCTCTTTATTTCCTGTTTTTAATTTTTTAATATTAAATTTAATTGCGAATTATTTCAAACAAACAGCCACAACCACCACCCCACACAACTAATTTCTCTCATTTCATTTATCGTTCATCACAATTAATTTGTATTAAATTTGCTCTTAAAATTAAATTTTATTTTTTGTGTTTTCTTTTTCGAAAAATTTAAATTAGTTTAAATGATGACTAATTAAAAAAATTTTTAGAATACTATAGGACATAGGGAAACTGACCAAATACCAAGATATTGTTTCCTCTATTTATCGAACCTTCAATATAATGTTTACTTTGGATTAAATTAGATGAATTTAATCCAAGGAATCATTCTTAAGATTTTAATTAATCTTGTTGAAACACTTTTTAATATTCTATGATTTAAATAAAAAGCATTTTATTCCAGACTCTGCATAGTATCATGTCTCATTTCTAAATAAATACCGCATAAAAATTACCTTGTGCAATTATTGTTTCAAACTCTCGCTAGGGGGAGGGGGTTAATTATTATAGTTGGGTAATTATTTGAGAGAGGGTAATTATATAACCATTTACTGTTAAACTGACATAGTTTTTGATCGTGTTTTTTGATTTGCCAATTTCTGATTATGATCCCAAGGTATTTAAATTGTTTTTTACCAAATCTTTTGTTTAGTATGTTTGTTCTTAATCTTTATTTTTTAAATTTTAATAATAAATAAATAGCCATTATTGAACCGAAATTCTAATTAGCAATTTTGCTTAACAAATTTAATAAACATTACAAAACAAAAAAATTTTCAGGGTAATTTTTTAATTTAAATAAAATTATAAAAATGCCTCAACAGCGGTTTAATAAATCCTTAACTTTATTTATTCTCTTAATATTTTTATTGAATGTAAAATCGGAGAGACAAAGTATTGAAATTTAAATATAAAAAAATATAATAATTTTTTAAGCAATTTTAGCTTACAGAGCACCGGGAGAATGTGATGTTAATGATCCTTTGAGCTGTAGTCGGCAAAAACATGAAGTAAAAATTAAAAAAAACTAAAAATGATACTAAAAATGATCTTATAAAATTTAAAATACTTGTTGGGAATTTAAAAATATTTTAATCCAAGACCAGTTTAAAAAACATTTTGTGTGAACTTAACACTAATAGATTTTTTTCAAAAAACTTCAAATTCAGAATAATCAACTAAATTCTCTTTTAAAGGTTTGTTCCTTCCTCGATGGTGTCTATAAATGTACTTGTGCAAGTAGTTATTCTAGATTACCAGATGGACGTTGTTTAGCTATAGATGAATGTAGCGATCCAAAACTTAATGAATGTTCAACAGATGCTATTTGTAAAGATCTTGTGAGAGAAAATAATTTAGGAGAACTTTTTATATTTAAATAATTTAGCCGGAAGGATATTCTTGTCATTGTAAACCTGGATTTGCCGATGTATCTAAACGGGGGAGACCAGGAAGTGTATGCCGAAAGGAGCAAAATGAGTGTCAGAGCCCTCATACTTATGGTAAGATTATATGAAGTTACCTATATTAGTTAAAAATTAATATCTTTCCAAATATTCTTCATCCGTTAGAAGTACTCCGAAATAAAAGTATTATTTGTTACAAGGTGTCGATTGTGATACAAATGCTGCATGTACCGACACAAGTGGCAGTTACGAATGTCGTTGCAATCCTGGATATTCAGACGTATCTGAAACTTATGCATTACTTCCTGGCCGTAAATGTATACAAACTATTAATGAATGTGAAGACAAAACAAAAAATGATTGTAGTGAAAATGCTATTTGCACAGATGCAAAAGATGGGTAAATTTTGGAGATTTTTTTATTATTTCCCATGTTTTATTCTGGACTTGTTTCAATTTTCCACTAAACAATCTCTCAGATTAAATATTCAAGATTGAGTTAAATTAAATTAAATTTAATCTCTATTTCTTAGTTATACATGTGCATGCAAGAAAGGGTATGTTGATGCATCTACAAATGTTGCAAAATACCCTGGGCGTACTTGCAACAAAGCAGTACAGGAAGAACAACATTATATTACTAATATTAAACAATGTGGGGGTTCACATCACTGTCCAAATGGACAGGTGATTGATAAATTGAACATAGAAAGATTAAATTATTTTTGTTTTCACAAATCAATTTTCAATATCCATCCAAATTATCCCTAATAATTTTTAGATTTGCGTGGATGATTATTGTAAATGCGCAGAAGGGTCTGTTTTGGTTGGAGGAGTTTGTAAACTTACTGCGGCTTGTCAAGTTAACAAAAAATTATTGCAAAAATATTTTTTTAATTAAAATTAGGTTGATCCCGAATGTGACAAAAATGCTATATGTATTAATGTTCTCGGTTCATATACTTGTCAATGTAAACCGGGGTATTTTGACGTTGATCCGGTAACACCTGGACGTGAATGCAAAGAATGTATATTTTAGAGAAAATATTAATCTTAAAGAATGTTTTTAAGTAACAAATGAATGTGTTGATCGTCATGAATGTTCACCATATGCAAAATGTATAGACAACAAAGACGGGTATGAATGTGAATGTAATGATGGGTACACTGATGTTTCACATCAATTCGGGTTGAAACCTGGAAGGAAATGTGTAAATAGTAAGAGAATGCAAAAACTTAAAAATATTTTTAAGAGAAAATAAAAATTCTAAATTTAATTAGCAAGCAATGAATGTGCTGATCGTTCTCTAAATACTTGTGATGAGAGCGCTGATTGTATTGACACGCCACAAGGATATACTTGTCAATGCTTTAACGGTTATATTGATGTTTCTGTATCTGCGCATTTACCTCCTGGAAGAGTTTGTACTGTTGAAACTAGCTGCCCAAAACAGAAAACTGATTTAATATTTTTGATTGACGGTTCTGGATCAATTGGTTCTCAAGTGAGAAAAAATACCTATTTTATATAATTGTGATCTCACTATAAGGCTTAATATGTATTAGATACAATTTAAGTTAAGATGTATTTTTTAATTTGATTGGCAATTGTGTCGGAGACCTGCCCAGATTATACCCCCAAACCAATTATAGAGTACATACAAGATACACTTTTAAATGTTTTTTTAACTTGGTTGGCCCCTAGATGAGAGAGTTGCCTAAATACCCAAATTGCTGATTAATTTACAATAATTCGGCCCTATAGGTGTTTCTCATAGCGAGATCCAGCCTTAATTTCTAATTATATAATACTAAACATTAATATTATTTTTCAGGTTTTTCGTAATGAGGTTTTGCGATTTATTAAGGAATTTATCGAACTTTTTGATATTGGACTAGACAACACTAGAGTAAATTAATTAATATTAATTTAAAAATAATAATACGGCTTTTACTCGATTAAAATATTAATATTTTATACACACAATTTTCTAAAATTTAAGTGATTTTTGAAAATAAATACAGATGTCGGCCAGTTACTTTTGGATCACCCTATATTTAAATAGGATTATAACAAATTGACACCAAATAATATTAGGAGATAAATCTTGATATCGAAAATACTTAATAATGGTTCGAAATAATTACCCTCACTTAATTACCCTCCCCTCCCCCTCCAAATTAATTAGTCGAGTAGATACATTAAAAATATGTAGGTTGGTTTAATTCAATACTCTGACCAAGTTCGGCATGAATTTGGACTTAGTCAATATTCTGATAAGCAATCACTACTTGCAGCAGTTGATAATATTAATTATTTGACTGGATTAACTAGGTGAGTTTAATTTTAAAAAATTATTTATTTTTGTTGTTTATTTTATAAATTAAATTTTTAGAACTGGCGCTGCTATAGAACATATGGTAAATGAAGGATTTTCTGATCGCCGTGGAGTACGTCCAATTTCTGAAGGTGCTAATCGTGTAGCTGTAATTATTACAGATGGGAGAAGCCAAGGCAAAATTAAAATAAATATTTCTTTATTCACTACAATTTCAGATAATGTTACCCAACCAGCTAAAACAGCTAGATCATATCAAATAAATATATTTGCTATTGGAGTTACTGATCATGTTTCTCCTACAGAATTAGAATTAATTGCTGGTTCACCAAATAGGTGAATTTTTGTTTAAAAAATTTGTATAGTTTTCATAATGATATTTGTATAACATTACTAAGTAATTGTATTATTGTCTTCCTGAACTGGATCTAAACTGTTAAAATATTTTTTAGATGGTTTTTGGTAGAAGGATTTAAAGATTTAAATACACGTCTGCGTTCTCTTGTTCAAAAACTGGCATGTCCAACGCCTCCACATATTCCAAATCCTCCCAATGGATTATGTAGTCCAGATACACAAGAAGGTTGTGATAGAACTTTGGGACAAATTTGTCAACTTGTTGGAGGACAGTCAGTTTTTTAAAATAAAATAATTCTATATTTAATTATAACGCTTAGACCTACTTGTCAATGCCCTGATGACTTCCCTGCCCACCCTAAAACAAAAATTTGTGGTGGTGATATTTGTAACCAAGAAGTAGCTACTACATGTCCAAATCCTGAAGTAAATATAATTTTTTAAACAAAATTACTTTCAATAATCAGATATGTAGACGTACTCCTCTAGGAAATTATCGTTGTGTTTGTCCAACAGGATTTTTGCGAGAATCTCGTTCAGGCGTTTGTATTTCTACTAAAGCCCAACCTATGCCTCCTGCACCTCCATGTTATGGAGGAAAAATATTAAATCCGAGAACGGGTGAATTTATTTGTAAAACCACACTGTTTCAATGTTTTTTTCTTGGATCTTTAAAGTTTTTGGTAGTATCTGAAGTTTTTTGATCCACTAAATTATTTCACTTTTAACCCATTTAAAAGGAGAATAATAAAATGTAGGTGGATAAACCGATAGTACCAAGATGAGTTTCTATTTAATTATGCCAACTGTTTTACAGCAAAATGTCTTTCTCCTGGAGAATGTGATCCTTCAGATGTTTATTCTTGTGATTTACGTAAACGAGAAAGGTGTTTGCCCAACCAACAACAAGTTGCCCCTGCTGAAGTTAGCAGTAATGTTGAACAGACTTATAAAAGGCATAGAAAACGTAATGAACCGACTTACGCAACAAGTAGAAATAATTTTGTTAAAAATTGATAATTTTTAATTAAAATTTAAAGGAGCCCCAATTACCTACTCGTTGAGTGCCGAATACACTTGCCAGTGTACAGCTGGGGAAAAACGGCATCCAATCACTAATGTTTGTCGTAAGTAGTGATAGAATTAAAATTAAAAAAATATTTAAAAATAAAAGTGCGTAATGAATGTCTTCGAAAAGAGGATAATGATTGTAATGTAAATGCCCATTGTTATGACACTGATGATAGTTATTATTGTGTTTGCTTTAGTGGATATTTAGATCAAAGTCCTGATAAGGCTAGTTATATACCTAAATATTTTAGGAATTAAATCCTTCGATTTAAGGTTTATAAAGCAGGTCGTGTCTGTGTCAAACCGCAAAGATGTTCGGACGGTACTTCTCATTGTTCACCAAATGCAATATGTACAGACACAGATTTTGGGTAGTAATTGTTTATTATTTTACTTAGAAAAATAATTCACAACTCGGATAATATAGAATTTTATTAATTTACAACGAGAGTTTTCCTATCGAGTTCAATTAACCAGAATTAATTTATTATCATTCATTTTAATGGATTAATTTATTGTTCAATTTTAATTTAAACTATGGCTTTTTCCTTCAAATCTTCGATTAGAACCCTTAATTTTAAAGAAAAATAATACGAATTACTGTACCGAGTATTTAAAAATCTAACTTTATTATCACCGAGTTGAAACTCCTTAGTTTAAGCTTAAATACTGGGTAAACTAAGCAGTTTAAATATTTTCCCCTGACAGCTAAATTTTTATTTAAATTATTTATTAAAGTATTGAGTGCCGTTGTAATCAAGGTTATGTAGATTTATCACCTAATCGTCAACATCAATCCGGACTTGTTTGTGAAAAACAAATTAATGAATGCGACAATAATCCGTATTTTCAAACTTTTTTAAAAAGTTATTAGAAAGTCTAATTCTTTAGTTGCCCTCCAGGCACTAATTGTATAAACACAGTTGACTCTTATTATTGTGCTTGTAAGACTGGTTACACTGATGTGGATGCTTTATATAATTCAAACAATACTCATCCAAATTGTCAACCAAATGTTAGTGTTTTAATTTGAAAACACTAAAATTGTAAAAATCTTAAATTTGGTCCATTATATTATTCCCAAGAGATAAGCTTCCGATAAGCTCACCGCCGCGAGCGAAGCATGAACTGGATTCCCTGACTATGAATTCTTTGATCAAGGTTATGTAGATGAAAAAATTGATAGTAATTGAATAATAATTCAAAGCTGAAACTCAAATAGGCTACCTAGAGTGCAAAATTTTAACTTTTGTAGAGGGCATAATTCTGCTTGAGAGCAAATTTTCGCCTTGTAGAGCAAAATTCAAGAAAATAAAATTCCAAAAACGCAATAAACTTTCAAAGAGGCAACAAACTATTAAATAATTTTTCATTTCTTTTAGAAAGCTGAAACTCAAATAGGCTGCCCTGTTCCATCTGATTGTGATAAATATGCAACTTGTATTCCTTTGGCTTCTGGATATACTTGCCATTGTAAAAAAATATTTTTAAATATTTATTTAATTATTATCAAGGCAATACTGGTTTTGAAGACAAATCTAATGACAGTGGAAAATTGCCTGGGAGAGTTTGTGTTCCTTTAATTGTTCCTCCAAAAACTTGTGGTGGGCAGGTCGTTAAGATTATCTAATAATTTTAAATGGATAAAATTTTTTTAAAGATTTGCCGTTCTGAATTGGGTGAGGTTTGCATTGGAGATACATGTGATTGTCCAGAAGGGCAAAAAAGATCTGGACCTAATGAGAAATGTTATCAAGTAAATATTGATATAATTGGTTTTTTACGATTAGGGCAGGAGAGATTAATTAATTCTTTTGTCATGAAAATAATAGGATATCTTAATCCAGGTTATTGAGCAACCCATATTTTGGAGATCCGGACCCAAATCGTTAAGAATGTCCGAGGTTACGGAAAGTGTTAAAGGAAGTGTTTAATAGGATTAAGTGGGATCAAGGGGAATTTGTACCATCCATCTCCGGCGAGGTGAAAATTTCGTGAATTTTGTAAGGCCAAGCTACCAAATTTCTTTCCTATTCTCATTACAAAGTTACATAACAATTTAATTTATTTATTAAAAGGTTGATGCCTTTACTTGGCCAATTTGGGTTATTCGAAAATACCATAATCCACTCTTCTGTAATTCTTCATTTTCCAATTCTTCAGATGAATTATCAAAGTAAGTGGAATTTCTTATTAAAATTTAAAAAATAATTAATTTAAGAGAATATAGTGATTCTTTTAATGGAGGAATTACTCAAAGTTTTGCTCAAATACCTTTTAGTAAATCTTTGGTTACTACAGAAGTAGCTAACTTGACTTGTCCTGATCAGGGAAATGGTAATTTTGAATTTTATTTTAGAAATTATTCTAAAGGAAGGCATCCATTATAATCTTTATACAATAGGATAATGATTAACAATTAGTCATGTGGACTTTATTAAATTAAAAAAATTTTATTAGCTGATTGTATTTGACCTGTCCTTGTGAAAATTATGAAAATCGAGTTCAAAATTCTGATTATCCATTAATGTTTGATTTAAAACAACTTGAACACAAAAATTAAGAACAATTGGTACTTATCCCTTAATTTGATGTTTACTCCAATACAAATGAATTTTATATCATTCGAAGGCCTTCGATAATCGGGATCCTTTTTCCAACTTGATAGATCTGGTTTGATCTGAAGTTATAATAATAACATACATAACCCCATTATTTGATGTTTTACACTTTATTGGGTTATAACTTTTAACATGTGATCATACCTGGTCCATTAAGCTGGAGATTGTGGGCGTATAAGGGATAAGTACCCAATCCTTATTATACATATAGGCCCTAATAATTTAAGTAGCTTTCAAATATTACCTTCAAAAAGATTTAATATCTCTTCAAAATTATTTTTAACTTTTACAAAGGTATTCTATTCAATACAATATTTTATTTCCGTCATGGTTCATTACCAAATCCACTTGGAGCATTTAATTCATTAATTAATTGGATAAATATACAAAATGACCACCAAGTTGGAAGTAGCGGATTATATTTAAATCCCTACAATGTTTGTGCTGCCAAAATAGAAAATTGTAAAAATTGTGAGAATTCCACTACAGGATATACTTGCAGGCATTTTCAAAATAAAAAATTAGAAAAAATATTTTAATTTTAATAGTTGTCCTCCTGGATTTGTTGATGGAAATGTAACATCAAATGAATGGCAAACAGTTATCTGTAATGAAACAATTGATGCTACAACAAATAATACTGTTAGTTAATTAACAAAATAATGAAGAAACTTGTCCTAAATACTAACTTTAAACTTCAATTTTATAGGAATGTACTTGTCAATTACTGGCAGCTGCATTACCTCCAGCTGGCTCTTTGACTGCTTCACATATTCCTTTCATTATATTCCTCATTTTGGCAATTATATTTTTAATTTTAACACTTTGTTGTTGTTTATATCTTTGTTCTCGATTGCATTGTTTCCGCCGTCCAGCAGCATCAAGTCAAGAATCTCTTTACGGTCCTCTAACAATACCTAGAGCTAAACTTGACGAAGTTTTAATTTTTCTAGTTTAAAAAATAGCAAATATTTTTAAAGGATCTGGGGTCTCTAGCAAGCAGTGAATACACTGTTCGGGAGGAAATCGAGAGAAGGGTTACAACTGAGGTGAAAATATCTTTGATTTTTTAAATTTAATTTTGAAAGAAATTTTTTAACAAAAGAAAATATTTTTATTGGCGTTTTGTTTAAAATATTCTTAAATTTATTTTAAAATAATTCTACAAATATATTTAAAGGTAACGAGAATGGAAGAGCAATTAGTTGGAGGAGAAACAGTTTATGAAGAACATGTTGGGGATAGATCTGATGCTTTTAGACAAAGCCGTTCTGGAGAGTTTTATTCTTCAGGAGGAGGTGGTGGGGGAGGGGGAGAATATTCAAGTGGTGGAGGGACAGAAAGATTTGGTAGCCAAACAAGAGAAAGAGGGGGTGGGGGCGGTGGTTATTATGCTTCTGCTTCTTCTACTGGAGGAGGGGAAGGAGGTGGTGCTCATCAACGTCGTGAATATTATTCTTCTTATGGACGTTGAAAAAAGTAAAAGATTTTTTAGAAATATTTTAATTTTAGGCAAGGGAAAAATACTATTTAATTAGATAATTTTACTTTCAATTACATAATTAAGGAAAAATTAAGCTAAAATTGAAAATAATTTTTGTAAATTTAATTTTTAATATTTTATAAATTAATTTTGAAAATTATCTTTTTATTTAGAATATCCAAACTCGATGACTACATTTTCTGGCTACATTTTGTTTGAAACTTCTTAGAGTTGAATTATTAAAAATTTAATTTCCCGGTTTCCTCTTATTTTTTTATTTAATATGTAAATGTTACTGCCTTATATGTACATTTAATTAATTACAATTTATTTTTAATTTTAACAATTCTGCCATTCTTTTTATTATTATTATATTAAATAAAATTTTAATTAATATGCTTGGAAGTCAACAATCTTATTATTAGGGATCGGATTTTTAGGTCGTAAAAACCTTAAAATAGGTACCTAAATAGGTTGTATAAAATGCTGAAATAGGTGACAAAAATAGGCAAATAGTTCTTAAAAATAGAGAAATACATACTATATTTTTAATTTTATTTCTGAAAATTATTAAGCTAATCATTTATCTCGGACCTTCACTTTTATATCATTTATCTATGTTGACCTTAAAAAGTGCGCGGAAATTTAAATAAGGAAAATTTTATATATAGTTTTTATGGAAAATCATAAAAGAAAAAATTAAAAAAAAATTTTCTGAGATCTTCTCTAACGATATGATGAAGAATGGCAAAAAATCTGAATTTTAACCCAACTCCATCTTCGAGATCTCGAGGTCCAAAATTAACAAAAAATGGGGCTGATTTAGAACACTATGTATGTTTATTAATTTTCTTATTCAAGATATTAATTTTAAAATAATAAATCCAAAAATTTAAAATAAAATTTTAATTTATTTTAACAAAAAATAAATTTTTTATAAATATGTATGTATTAGACAATAAAAAAAATAATTAACAATAGTTTGGTTGTTCAAAATATTTTTTGTTGGAAAATAAAGGAAAACTTATATTGTTTGCACAAAGTCTAAATTTGTATATTTATTTTTGTTAAACAATAAATAAATTATTTTTAATTTTTTTATCTAATTATGGAAATATTTAATTTAGAATTGTTATTGTTCTTAATAAAATATAAAAATTAGAAAATGAAACTACGATTAAAGAATCTTTGGGAATTTTATAACATTATTATTTAACTACTACATACATATTTCCGTTATATTTAGTAGATTAAAAATTTTTATTTATAATTTTAGAAATTATAACTATAGAAATTATATTATTATAACTTTAGTATTTATAACTTTAGAAAAAATAAAAATAAATCAATTATTAAAGTATAATTCATTGTAAAGTTAAAAATGAAATTTTTAATTTTTATTTTCTTTATTTTTGAGAATTACCATTTAATATTTGCTCAGATGGATGGTAAGAAATTTTAAAAAATTTTAAGATTATCTCAAAATAAAATATTGTTAATACTATTAATATTGTTGGTTTTAACTAAAAACTATGTTTAAATTGTAATATTAATATAACCCTCATAATACTGATTATTAGCACAATTCTGTTTGGAATTAACATATTAAATATTTTTATAGCTAATTATTAAATTTAGGCATGAATAGTATGATGAATGGACAAAATGGAGGTATTTTATTTTTTGTTAATAAATTCTAATTAAGTAATTCATATTATATTTTAAATTTCTTGATAAATGATAAAATTAACGATAATTTAAAAGGTATGGGATCACAAATGAATAGAGGGCCAAAGAAAATAATTCCTGGAGATGATGATGAAGGCGAAATATATCCGGGATTTTCACTTGATAATATTTTAAATGGCGGAACTGGAGGTACTGGAAGAAGTATGTCTCCTGGCCGTTCTAATTTTAATAATAATATGGGCGGAGGTGGTGGTGGATATTATGGTGATTACTTTTATGTTTTTTAGTACTTGTTAAACAATTTAAAGGTATGGGTAATCAAATGTCAGGAGGAATGGGGCCAATGAATCCAGGCATGGGAGGAGGTATATCTACTAAATAAAACTGGAAATTAATCTATTTTAAGGAATGGAAATGGGTGGTGGTCAAGGCTCAATGATGAACCTTGGGATGATGCCTGGGGGTATGATGGATACTGGGGATGTTTTGGGTGGATATGGATCTAGTAATATAAATTTTGATTTTAAATTATTAATTTACAAAATTAAAATTTATTTTAGATTATGGTTCTGAAAAAAGACTAGATGTTCTTGAAATGGGGCCAAATGATAATTTCAAGCCACAACGGCAATCACAATCAAATATGAGACAAATGGGTTAGTCTTCCTTAATCAAAAGAATTAAAAAAAAACAATTTATAGCACAACCACAAGATTCTATGCCGCGAATATCAATACCTCCATATTCTGCCGAAGGGGATGACGATAAGGAAGTAAAACCGATAATTAGACCATTAAAACGTTAATTTAAATTTAAAGTTTTAATTTATCTAAATAATTTAATTTGTAAAAAAATCTAATTTCTAAAAAAATCTAAAAATAAAAAAACTAAATGACGAATTACAATTTGAATAGACTCGATCTAAAAAACATGTTTGAAATAAATTTTGTTAAGTAACAAATCAGAGATTAATTTAATTCCCCAAATTAGAGAAATTTCCGATCTTGTATCATAAAAGTAAAGAATAATGAGTAAATACATAATTACCCAAGAGTTTTTCATCTTCTTAAATATTGAACTAAATAAATTTTCTATAAAATGTAGTGTTATTAAGACTAATTTACAAAAAGCTACTTGATTTTTTCAATTATTAATTTTGTCCTTAATTATATATTTTTATAATTTAGAGGATTGTTTTTCTATTAAAAAAATTTTTAAATTTTTATTTCAATTCAATATTAACAAAAATATTTTTTACAATCAAAATTAATTTAGAAAAAAAATATTTTTTTTCAATTTAATTTTAATAAAAACCACTCCCTATTGCGTCAATCGTTTGAATTATAAATATAAAAATACACAAAATTTGTCTCTTTTAATTATTCAAAAAAATTCTTTTTTTAATTTTTTCTACCCAATCTAATAATTAATTTACTATAAAGTACGTTCCAAAATAGGTTGACACCCCCTAATTTTTCCGATAAGTCAACTTCGATCTGTCTAATTTTTATAATTTTTTTAAATATTGATTCAGCATCAAAAATTACCCTATTTTACAAAAAATTTTAGATAAGCAAAAATTTTATCAAAAGTTATGAAGGTTTTTAGAAAAATGAGGTGTTCCAAAATACATTGAACAGTTTGTAAAACCTAATAAAAAAGCCCTTAAACAATTACTGAAAATGAAATAAAAAATTCTATGAACATTTCCATTGATATTGAGTTAAAAAGAAAAAAGAACGAAGTCCGTAACTGTTATCTTCATTGAGATCTCAAATCTCGAAAATCAACGGGAAACCGGGGTACAGTATTTCAAAAAATATTTTAACCCCTTTAGGGCATATATAAAAATTTTCTTTTAGGCCTATCTGAAAGCCCATAAAATTACAAACTGTTCAATGTATTTTGGAACACCTCATTTTTCTAAAAACCTTCATAACTTTTGATAAAATTTTTGCTTATCTAAAATTTTTTGTAAAATAGGGTAATTTTTGATGCTGAATCAATATTTAAAAAAATTTTAAAAATTAGACAGATCGAAGTTGACTTATCGGAAAAATTAGGGGGTGTCAACCTATTTTGGAACGGACTTTATTATGGCCATTCAAGTGTAAATAAACGTAGAAACTTAAATTAGAAGAAAAAACTGTCCTTTTGAATTTTTAAACGTTTAAATTGTTTTAAACAGAACATTTTAAAATGTGACTTTTTATAAATAGAAAAAAGTGATTTATTACTTTTTTTAAAGAATTGAAATATTTTTTTATTTGACAAAACATTGAGTTAAAATTTTTAAATTTTCATTCTTCTTAGTAATGTTTTCAATTTTAATTTATTTGGTTAGTTAAAATATATTTTAGATTTTATGTGAATATACAACCATATCCAACAAAACGCGAAGTTTTTCAAGTTTTAACTTGAAAAACTTCTCGATTCTTTAATACTATAATTTTTCTGGAAAAATTTTACAAAAGTTTATCTATTCGGAATGTTGGAAAATTTAATTTTAGTTTCTTTTCCTAAATATTCTAATTTCATTTTTCTTCTTAAATTGTAAATTTTGCAGCTTTAAATTGTTATTAAAATGTCTAAAAATAATTTACAAAAATAGAATTCTTTTATCAAAGTTTGAGGGTATTTTTATTGTTTTAATTATTAAAGCTTTCTCTAAATTTTCAATTGAATCATGAGTTTAATTTGCACAAATGTTCTTTTTCCTCCACACATTTTCAACTTTCCAAATTTAGAAAAATCAATTGAAGCAAACGGATATTTTTACTTTACACTTAATTAGGTTTAATTAACTTTTAATTTTTTATTTATCCTCGTGATTATTCTTAAATTACCTCACACAACATTTAAAATATTTAAAAATAAACATTCACATTTCTGCAGAATCATTTGACATCCCCACTAAACCTGATTCAAAGCCCAGACCTCCTCGAAGATTTTGTTTCTAACCTAATTATAAAGACAGATTGTAATGATATTTATGCATTCCATTTCTGGAGGTTGAAGTGATCCGATTTCTCAAAAAAACTTAAAAGAGAAATTTCTATAACCCGAAAATTAAATTAAAATTTATTATAAAATGGCGCTCATAACAAATTTACATAATTAAATTTTTTGGAGACATCTAAGGCTAAAATCTAGTAATGTTGAAATGTTTACTAAAATAATTCCACTAAAATTCAATTAAAAATTTAGAATTAAAATAATTAAAAATGTCAAATTTAAATCAACATCAAAACGATTTTGTCAGTTACCACGTCCCTATTCCCACACATGTATATACAACAACTGGAAGAAAACAAAGTAATCAACAAGGAGACTGGACAACTGGAGAAGCTTCAAGCATAAAATCTGGAAAAAGAACTTGTTTGGATAAAATTAAACTTGCTTTTTACATTGGAATTATAGTCTTTCGTAAGAATTTGTAATTAAAAAATGAATTTTAATTTTAATCTCTTATTTATTTCCCCAAATTTTTACATTATCCTTTAGAGAGAATGTTTTTCACTACTTAATAATATTAAAAAAATTTTTTTTTAGTTATTCTTCTGATTCTTTTCATTTTTATTTGCTTTGTTGTGATGCTTTTTAGTGATGAACGTCCATGGCGACGCAAATTATTCCATAGTGGACATTCTTCATCGGGCTCGGCTATGTCGACTGGAGAGTCTTCAACAGACTAAAATGAAAGCCTTGGATCGATTTTGTGATAAGATTATTTTATTATTAAACGATTTTTTGATTAATAAAATTTTTAAGTTACAACTGATTTAAATTATTATACGTAAATAAAACTAATAATAATTAGATATGGGTGTCTAAATAATAATAAACAGTTAATAGAAAAATAAAAATACCTATCAAATTTAACAATTGATAGATTTTGGATAACATTCTCTCTATTTTCATATTGATACCGCATTCTTGGCAAATTATTTCAACCTTCAATAATTAAAAACCTTGTAGATCTCCAATATCTAGTAATCGGGACTTTTCTTCGATTCAATATCAAATGTTTGATCGCCGAACAGTGCGATCCAGAATTTTACTTCTGAGGTATTATGGCGGGCAGTTAGACCGCCAACTGAACATATACACCACTTACTTTTACTAAAGTACTTAAAGTAATTAAGTATTTAGATGATAAAGTGCAACTACCTACCTATATTAATTTGTTACTTTAAATTCCTTCCTCATTTCTAAAAATAAAATAACAAAAAAATTCTTTCTTAAGGTATAAAAAATTAAATCTCTGTACATTTCCCGAAGAAGTCAGTCTTGTTAATCCGATTATCATTTCTTTCGGCCATTTGCGATTAAATGCATAGATGTAACTGATCTAGTTTATTATTTCAACAAAAATACAAAATTAATTTTTAAAATTTGATTTAAAATTTGATTATATTCAATATTTTGTTCTAGAAAATAAAATTATCATCACATGTAGAACTTAAAGAACTTATTTGATAAATAAATCTTTATAAACTCATTCTGTTTTAAATGCAGAAATTCTGGAATCTTGGCCTTTCAAAAATTTCAAAATTTTCGTCTGCAAAAATTTTTTTGTCCACTTAAACAGTTAAAATAATATCACGTTTTAATTACATCTTTAATTCTAATAATAATTCTAATTTTAGGGACTTAAATTTAAAAAAAAGATTATTTATTCATCTTAAAAAATTAAAATTTAATTAACATTTAATCTGATTATTAATAAAAATTTTGAAATGAAGAATATTACTTTAATAATTATAGTAGGTTTACTACTTTTAATAATTCAACAAATTGATAGAAAATCTTTTCTAAATGGTTAGAAACATTTATTATAATTTTTAAAAATTATATTTTAGCATTTTTTATTCCGACACATGTTCACTTTTTTCAATTTTTAAATACACAACAACAAACACAAAATCAGCCATATCAACAAAATGTAAATAACGAAGAGAGGAGTTTCCTTGTTAAAGCTATACCTTATGAAATTAAGCAAAGTTTGGATGATGAAATTAAAGTACTTGAATATTTTTAATTTTAATTACAAAAAAATAGTAAAATGAAAATAATATGGAAATATTTTTAATACCCCCTAAAATGCCCTACATACTTTAATAATAGTACAAAATAAGCTAATTTAAATAACAATGGTTATTTAATTAATTTATATTAATATTAAATTAAGGAATCATCATCAAATAAAGATTTTACCTTCAAAAATGAGAATAAGAAAGATCAACACAAACAATTAAAAAATTCTTTGGACTTTGAATATAAAAATGAAAAATTAGACGAAAATGAATATTATTATACTCCTCCAACTTTGTCACCTCAAAAGTCAACAAGTTTTAAAAATACTAAGGATATAAATACTGACAGTAGGATAATTAATTCATTAAAAATTATTTTAATAAAATTTATTCAAAAAATATAGCTCAGATAAAATAACTAATATTCTAAAAACTAATAAATAAAGACCGGGCTGAAAGGGTCGTACAAATTTAAATTATTTTGTAGCTTTTTAAAAATAAATTACTAAAAGGCGTAGTTCTTCGAGATTTATGTCAGCTACCCAATTTAAGAAGATCAGCAGAAGAGGAGAATTCATTTATTGAATGTGAACAGACAAAAGAAATGCCGAAAGAATTGGGAAGGTTTTTTAATAAATAATTATTTAAATAATTATTTAAAAATTAAGAAATGATATTGGAATATGGAAAATAAAAAAATGTCCTTCCAAAACAGTTTTTGTGTCTTCTGCTCAAATATGTTTACCAGATAAGAGAAGTCGACTTAGAAAAATTATTGGGTCAAAATTTTTGCAATCCTCGTCGAAAGAGGAAAAGCCTTTATATGATGGACAAAAGGCAATATTTTATTAAAATTTTATTTTGGAATGGGGACGCTAATTAATTAATAGAATTCTCATATCGGCTAAAACTTTTATCCGTTTCAACACCTCTCGAAATATTTAAAATGTGTTACCTAATTTTCTATTCTCATATTTGATTTAAGTAAACTTTACATAAAAAAGTAAAGATCTTTTACCATTAATTACAGGGAATACATAATAGCGTATTAAACAGAAAATAATAACAATCATTTTTACTAAAAGTTTTAGTTACTTACAATTCGGCATAGAACAGAAAATTGTTCTTCTACGGAAGAATTAAATAAGCCTCTTGCTGATTGTGATTTCCTCGATCATTACCCGTTATGTGAAAATGTTGAGAATAAACATTGTTATTATTCACAAAGAAGTATTCCAAATAATTATGATCGAGTGTTAACAAGTTGTATTTGCATTTGTGTTGAGGTGATTTTTTATAGAGAACGGGGGGGGGGAGTTTTGTCTATGTAGTGGGTGGAGGTTTTTTTGGAGCCTTGAGTTGTTTTTTGATAAAAAAACAAATAGTAAATATATTCTAATAAAATAATTTTTTTTAAAAGAATAAATCCCCACAACAATATTCCCCAACATACAATTACAACTACAATAATAACAATCCTTATTTATCTTCACAACAACAAAATCCATTTAATAATTATTTAAATTCCAAACAAATCCCATCCTACACAAATTATAACAACAAATGTGGATGTGGTCGATATCTTCGCATTGATGTTTATTTGCCACCAGAGGTGTTTCGAAATTTCGATTTTCGATTTTCGTTTTTCGATTTTCGAGGTTTTTTTCCTTTCGATTTTCGATTTCCGATTTTCGAAATTTTGTGATATTTTCGATTTTCGATTTCCGAATTTTTGAAAAAATTTGAATTTTTGGCGCCAAAAATGAGGAATTCTGACTTAACGGCCATCATAAATTTAAAAAATTTTCGACTGCGGCGCAGAAAAAAGACGATTTTTGGCTTAAGGATCAGGCATGGTCATGGATACGGATAATATCCGGATACCCGCGGATATCCGCGGATACGGACGGATATGGATAGTGTTTTTTTAATTGGACGGATACGGATGGATACCGATATGATGCTCAATATCCGCGGATATCCATTTAAAATTTTTGCTACAACGCAAAGAATGTGAATTTTTTCGCATAAGGCCTTCCTAAATTTTCAAAATTTTTGCCTGCGGCGCTGAAAATAAAAAGAAAATCTGCTTATTTGCCTCACAAAATTCTCAAAATTTTCGCCTGCGGCGCAGAAAATGACGATTTTTGGCTTAAGGATCTTCAAAAATTCTCAAAATTTTCGCCTGCGGCGCTAATTGGAGAAAGCCCTGATCTACTAACAATATTATGCTTCGGCTCCGGTATATTGGAGGATTTGCTTGGATTTAAGTGGATTTGGAAGCCCCATCTCCCCACCATGCAAGAACCCTATACCAGGTACCGCCCAACTCTATGAGTAAAGCGGCCTAGCTCTGTACTATATTATCCCTTTTAATTCTTCATTATCCCTTTTAATCCACACTGATCTTATGATAAATTATTAATCTTTAACTTTCCACCTAACATAACAAAAATTTATTTTTCAATTTTTTTATTAAAAAATTTTTTTCGATTTTCGTTTTTCGAGGTTAATTTTCTTTCGATTTTCGATTTCGAAGATTTTGAAAAATATTTTCGATTTTCGATTTCGATATTTTTGGATTTTTTTCGATTTTCGATTTCCGATTTTCGAAGAATTTTTTGTTTCGAAACACCTCTGTTTGCCACAGCCAACTATGAGTAAATGACTGATTTAAATAAAAATATATAAATTTAGAAAAGTACAAATATGTAAAATTTTATATTTTAATTTTTTCATAAAATATTTTTTAAAAAATTGTTAATTATTATTTTCTAAATAAATTTTGATATGACTTTGAATTTAAATATAAATTTTAAATTTAATTATTCAATTCGTGTTGACATTTAAAAAATCCAAAATTGTCTACTTTATTATTTAAAATTAATCTTTATTCTCCATTTAAAACTCACTTAAATTTAAATATAATGACAAACTATAAAATATTTGCGTGCGAATATTTTTGGAATTTTCACATATTTTTTTATATCTGGAACATTCTTTTTTTAATTTCTCAGAATTTATTTAAAATAATTTTTAGTAAAAAACAATTTTTTGTTAGAAAAATCTTTTTGAAATTTTTTATTTCTTTTGATTTTCAAATATTTGTAAATGTGTTAGTAATAATTTTTTGAAATTATTTAATGTCTCTTAATAAAATAAATATAAAATATTTTATAAAAAACTTAAGAATTGTCTAAACTAAAATTTAGACCTAAAAATATTAACACTAAAGAATCAAAATTGTTTAAAACTCGATCGAGAGATAAAAATTTGTATTTTCCTTTCCTTAATTTAAATAAGTAGTATTTAATATTTCTACTTCCAACATTTACATAAAGTTTTTTTTTAATTAATTCATAGCAGAGACAAGATTCGAGCTAAATTCGAAACATCACGAGAAATCACGATTTTTCTAAGGGATTATTAAATGTTATAGTATATTGAATGTGATATATCAAAATCGTGTCCGAACTCTATCTAAAAAATTACAATTTTTATTTCAATTTTTTTAACAAATAAGATTGTCACGACATATTTCAATTCTAAAAATTTATTCCAAGAAAACTACAAAATATTCCAAGTTTTTGTTTCTTCTTTGAATTTATTTAAATATAAAATATTAAACTTATTTAAACAAAGCTTCATTGTTTCACATTATTTTATTTTTATAAAATTATTTAAAAAATTTTTCCTTTTAATTTAGCTAGGTGGAGTAGAAGAAACTTTTTTATCCAAATAAAAATGAAAGGATTAATTTAAAGAAAGTCTAGCCAAATATTTTTTAATAATTAATTTAAGATTTAATTTTTGAAACTTTAATCTCTTTTTAAAATAATATGAAATTTTTGGAGATTGGAATGAACATTTACTTAATTTTGTGAATATTTTTAATTCCAAAATATGTTTGAGATAGAGACTAGCAAAACGAACTTCCGGGATCATTTTCGTTCTTAACCAATGCCGGGACGGGCTCCCGTTGAATAAATCCCGAAAAATCCCGGATCCCGAAAGAGCCCGAAACTCAAAAAATCCGGGATTTTGGGATCGCGATCCAGTAAATATCTTTACCTCGCGGTTTTCTGTTATCGTGATCAGTATGTTAACTGTTAATTATTTAATAGTTATTTCTAACTATTAACTATTTCAAACTTTAAAGCCTTTTTACAAATAATTAATCCAAACCTTCTAAATGATATCATTTTTATAAGCATCAAAAAACGTTAAAACATTTTAATTTATTAGCAAGCTACTTACATTGTTTTTTCAAAATATTTTTTTATTTAAATATAAATACTCTCATACAATTTTTGCATTATTTTGTAAAGTTTTTTAAAATTAGTTTAGAGGTAAATTTATTATTAAAAAAATTTTTTTTCTAAAACTTAAAATGTCGACATTTTTAAAGAAATATATTTTTTTATATTATAATTTTAATAAATTATTTTTTATTTAAAAATTTTTTAAAAAAATAATAATATATGCAATATATGTCTATTTGTAGAAAATTATATTTGAAAAAATTTTTAGCTTTATAATTTATTTTCTAAAAATTGTCGTATTTGTTTTCTTTAAATGTTTATTTGAAAATCTTAAGGAATAAAAAAAATAAATTATTTAATAAATTAATTTTAAATATTAAAAAAAATTTCCTTTAGATTATAATTTGAGATTTAATTAATGATTCGAGAGATAAACCAAGCCAGTGCAATTTCTGCATTTTCAATTGGCGTTATTTTTAATTCTTTATTAATTTGGCTAATTCTTCGAAAAAGTCCAAAAGAAATGCGCGTTTTTAGCCATATTTTAATTCAGACATGTACTGCAGATTTAACTATGTTAACAATTAATTTACTTACACAACCGGTTTGTCTTTGTTTATAAAAATTTGGGTACGAATTTTATAGCCGTTTAAATCTCATAATTGTCGGATACCCGTGCCGATAATGAATATTCAAAAATATTTTTACAATATTTTTATTTCAATAAATTAAAAAAAATTTTTTCGAAGCACTTCCAATTATTGTTATTTATTATGTTCTTTACTAGATCTACACATCTGATAACGGTGTAAGCATTGTTGTACTCAACGGTCTTCTAAGACATATTGAATGGATTCCACAAAATTTAATTCTTTTTGTTTGGGATAATTGTTTCTTCTTTTCTTTTTTTGGATTTACTTCACAATTTATTTATCGTTATTTGATTTTAAATAAGTAAATCAATAATTTTAAATAATAATATAGACAATATATGACTTTTGTTTTATTTTTCGGTTTTTTGTGTAGTGTATTTATTTACCTAGGGTAGTTCTTCGGTTTTGGACAGGCTTATTAAGTGCATGCAATCGGGAATTTTAAAGAATGAAAAATTTCGATTCTTATTTTAATTGAAAGCCTAATTTCGAGTATTACAAATAGACTTTCAATCATAGTTCTGGTAAATTTTCTGTCTTAAATTTTTCACCCGTTAAAGAACTTTTGTTTTGGTCTGTTTCCCTCACTCTTTCCCAAAATAAAATTCTCTCTTAACAATATCTAAATATATTTTTATTTTTGAATTTAGAAATATGAATATAAGTTCAAAAGAATATTTTATTGCCCTTTTTTGTACAATTTTTACGATGGATTTTATTCTTGCCACACTTTTATATTATGCTGGCTATCCTGATGCTGATCACAGAATTTGTTGTTCAAGCAATGTCACTTTGCAGTTATTGGATTGGGATGGAAATAATGATAATCCGATTTGGATTGCTCAAAGAGCTGTAAATTAATTATTTCATTTTGATTATTATTAATATTTATCAGTAATTTTTTAAATTAAAACGTTAATTAGACTCATTTACAGAC